AGAGAAAAGGGGGCCTGGGGGCATCTTCAGGGGGTTAGCCTGGGATGAGCTGCCCGTATCCATTGCTTCCCTAGTTGCAAGTCTTGTGGAACCTTTAGAGCAGTGGTTCTCAACCTTCTGGCCCTTTAAATACAGTTCCTCATGTTGTGACCCAACCATAAAATTATTTTCGTTGCTACTTCATAACTGTAACGTTGCTACTGTTATGAATCGTCATGTAAATATCTGGTATGCAGGATGGTCTTAGGCGACCCCTGTGAAAGGGTCGTTCGATCGCCAAAGGGGTCGTGACCCACAGGTTGAGAACCGCTGCTTTAGAGTTTAGTAGCTGCACGCCTGTCGGGGAAGAAGTGGGTGAAGGGGAAGGCACAGGCATGCTCCCAGGAGGGAGAGCACGCCTGATATTTAAAATTTGGACTTAATATTTTAAACACTATGGATGTAAAGTGAAATACAAACATCTCTCCCTGTGCCCTTTTTACCCCTCATTGCTCTATCATTCATTCTCATTCCCCTAAGTAAATGTGCTTCTAAACCTTCTTTCATGCAGATATATACTAGTACATCCCTCCTTTTTTTTTTTAAGAAACAAAATGGGGTCATACTGTATGTGTCCTGGAGTTTTCTTTTTAAATTATTTGTCAACACTGACAGTTATAATTATAGGCCCATCTCATTCTTTAAGATTGAGAAGTAGCCCATAGTTTGGGTGCACTTCCTCACGCAGTCTTTTCTGTTGATGTATGTTTTTGGTTTTTCACGATATATTCTTATGTTAGCATATAAGGCAGTGGTTCCCAACCTTCCTAACGCCGCGACCCTTTAATACAGTTCCTCATGTTGTGGTGACCTCTGATTTCATTGTTACAAATTGAGCATAATGAAAGCATAGTGATTAATCACAAAAACAATATGTAATGATATATGTGTTCTCTGATGGTCTGAGGCGACCCCTGTGAAGGGGTCGCAACCCACAGGTTGAGAACCGCTGATATAAGGACACTTGATAAGTTTTGTGAGTTTAAAGTTGTTCAGTTTGAGGTTATATTTTTACTATTTGGGGGGGGGTGTCTAAAATGTCCTTTCTTTGCTTTTTTTAAAAAATATTTTTTTATTGATTTCAGAGAGGCAGGGAGAGGGAGAGGGAGATAGAAACATCAATGATAAGAGAGAACATTGATCGGCCGCCTTCTGCACGCCTCCTACTGGGGATTGAGCCCGCAACCCAGGCATGTACCCTTGACCTGAGTCTAACCTGGGACTCTTCAGTCCGCAGGCCGATGCTCTATCCAGTGAGCCAAACCGGCTAGGGTGTCCTTTATTTTATAAACAGTGTGATGGCACTTGCTTCACTTAAGGTCCTTGGCAAAATAAAAAGTGGATAACATGTCAGTCCCTATTTTTGAGGGGTGGGGGCAACCTGACTGGTCTGAAACTTGAGTCGGGGAGCCATTGGCACAGCAGAACCCTGTACACTGGCAGGCGGGGAACTCTTCTGAACTTCAGAGGTATCATCCATTGAACTGCTCTTTAGGAGCGATGAAACAAATCCAAGTAATGTGGGGAAAAGGGCAATTGTGGGAGTAATAGGTGTATTCATTGGCACAGGTGTGCCTAGTTAGGCAAAAATATAGCAGGCAAAGTTCTGGCTTCCTTTGGCTCCTGCCCCATCCTCCCAGCAACCCTCTAGCCCAGCCGAGGGCAAACTACGGCCTGCGGGCCGGATCCGGCCTATTTGAAATGAATAAAAACTAAAAAAAAAAAAAGACCGTACCCGTTTATGTAATGATGTTTACTTTGAATTTATATTAGTTCACACAAACACTCCATCCATGCTTTTGTTCCGGCCCTCCGGTCCAGTTTAAGAGCCCATTGTGGCCCTCGAGTCAAAACGTTTGCCCACCCCTGCTGTAGCCTGTGGTACTTTAGGTTCAGTTTGCATTTCATCTCCCTCCTCCAACACTCTGATATCACTGCCTCTGCCCACCCTCAATAGCCCCAAAAAACACTTTTCAGAACTTGAAGTTGTTACATCTAGAACAAAATTTTCACTATAATGTAAAACATTTTTTATTTTCTTTGCCCTAAGGGGGACTGGGTAATCCAGATTTCTCTGGGGTTTTCTGGTCCTCTTTGCCAATTCCCCAAAACCACAGGGAAGAACAGCCATAGCTCCTTACCTGGCCTTGAAACCTTTGTAAGGGCAGGTGACTTACATCCCAGTCTGCCCAGGGATGTTTCGGTTTACACCTGTTGTCTTGGCATAATTATTAGTAACTAGAGGCCTGGTGCACAAAATTTGTGCAAGGTGGCTGGTGGTGGTGGTGTGTGTCCCTCAGCCCAGCCTGCACCATCTCCAATCTGGGACCCCTTGAGGGATGTCCGACTGCCTACTGGGATCGAGCCTAAATGGGCAGTCAGACATCCCTCTCACAATCCAGGACTGCTGGCTCCCAACTGCTTGTCTACCTGCCTGCCTGATTGCCCCTAACCGTTTCTGCCTGCCAGCCTGATCACCCCGTAACTGCCCTCCCCTGCAGGCCTGGTTGTCCCTAACTTCCCTCCCTTGCCAGCCTGGCTGTCCCCAACTGCCCTCCCCTGCTGGCCTGGTCACGCCTAATTGCTCTACCTTGCTGGCCTGGTCGCCCCCAACTGTCCTCCCCTGCAGGCCTGGTCACCCCCAACTGCCCTCCCCTGCTGGCCCGGTCACCCCAACTGCCCTCCCTTGCTGGCCTGGTCACACCCAACTGCCCTCCCCTGCTGGTCTTATTGCCCACAACTGCCCTCCCCTGCAGGCCATCTTGTGTCCACATGAGGGTGGCCATCTTGTGTGTTGGAGTGATGGTCAATTTGCATATCACCAATTTGCATATACGGTATATTACTTGAAAGCCCTTTTAATAATATAGGATACCCCTTTTCACTCTCAAAGGGTCCTGATTTGAGTGATAAAATATACGGTATATTAGTGGGCTTAGTAAGAACAGTTAAGTCCAGGAAAACGAGTGTGGGGTGGCACAGCTCACAGACCAATATAAGAAGGTGAATGGTTTTGTGAGCCTAGCTTATCAGATGACTTGGGGGAGGAGGGACTTGTGGCTGAGAAGAAAGCGTTTTATGGAGAGTAGGCAGCCTAGGCTTGAGACCCCAGGCTATACACTTGATTCTGGATAAAGCTGTTCACTTGAGGCAAGTAGCTTTGTTTTATGGTGAAAAGGGGGACTTGAAAATTTAAATACTTCGTTTTCTTGGAGAATGGGTTGGATAAATCATATGCATACAAGATCTGTTTTTGGTCTTAAAAATCTTTTCTGGGGAGATGGTGAAAGTGACAGGACTTGATAGAGGTAAAGGAATAAAATGGGTAAGATAAAAGTTAGGAGAAATGGTAAGTACTTGTGGGAATACTCAGATGTCCATAAAAGCAGCTGTGAGCAATCTGTATTCCATGTGCAAGGTGAAGGCAGCTTGCCTGAAGTGACTGAGGTCCTGGAAGTTTGGAGGAGAGAAAGGAACAACAAATAAGGCTTCTAACTTTCTGTTTCTAGTCTTTGAAATACACTAACGTGATGGTAGTGAACTTTTAAACCTTATGAATTCTGTTCCAGGAGGGAAATTCCTTTGTATTATAGCTTTGAATACCAAGGGGCATTTTTATTTCTGGCAACAACCCCGAACAGTGGATCATCATGCCAAGTGTAATTTATCTGCTTACCTACCAGGACTCTCGCAGGTCTTCATGAAAGTGGTGTGGTCTGTTCCTCCCTTTCCACTGTCTTGAGGGAGAGGAAACTCTGGGACCTGGGTCCCTGAATCTGGCTGAGCTCTATTATTCTGTGTGCGGTAATTGCTTGTGTTATTACTCTTGGCAGGTGAGCCCTTTCACAGCCCCGAGGCCTGGAGGCCACCTCTATTACTTAAAAGCCCAGTTATCTTGTTAAACTCCTTTCCAGTGAGAGCTTTAGAATCTCCTGAGACCTCCCGCTGCCTCTCTGTGGGGCACAGGCCCAGCTCGCTTTTAACCCTGCCCTGCCCTTGTTAGTCATTGTGAGCCTAGCTCTAGAAGAATAACTTTCCTTCCTAGCACGCAGTGTAGGGCTGCTAGCCAGACTGCTTGGTTCCATTAAATTCTTAAGAGGTCCTGTATGGGCTCTGAATGAAAGTTTCTCTACTACTCTTGATTCAGAAGAAAATGTATTTCTTTGATTATCAGCAGGAGAATCTGAAAGCCAATGTAGAAAAGAATAAGCAGTGAAGATAACACAGCACATTCCAGGCCAGATAGCCTTTTGTTTAACTTCTTGTGGAGGTGTGAAGTTCTGAAGGAGGGTAGGGTGCACTGGGGCACCGGCATATAGTGGGGAAGGAATGACTTGTTTGGCAATTTTTCCTTTATGACTGTCTCCCTCGGCTTTTAATGATGAGATTCTGGGGTGGTGCCTTAATTTAGCAATAAAGGACTCTGAAATGTTTATGGCAAATTTGTGATTTGTACTTCTTTATTTTGACATCTAAAATTGACTGTCAACATTTCAAATAGGAAGAGTTTCCAAACAGGCTTGGAAAATAAAACCAGAAATTTAATTCTTTTCATGGGTAGCATAGAATTTGAATTACTTTAAGTTCTACAGTCAGTTCTGCATATAAACCAAAATAAATGTATTAGATATTCTTTAGAGATGATCCACTCTAAATAGTATTGAATATTATGCTTAATAATTTAGTTTTTGTATTGCTGTAGTTTCTAAAAATATGTGCATGACTTTGCAGAAGCAAATTTGAGGAATAGTGAATGCCACAAATCTTCATTTCTCTGGGCTATTTCAGGTATCCTTTTTAAAAATATGTGTGTTTTTATTTTTTTAAAAATTGATTTCAGAGAGAGGAAAGGAGAGAGAAAGAGAGATGAGAGTGAATCATGGATCCTGCCTCACAAGCTCCCTGCTGGGGATTGGTCTGCAACCTGGATATGTGCCCTGATTGGGAGTCAGCACCGTGACCTCCTGGTTCATGGGTCGACGTGCAACCACCGAGCCACGGGGCCGGTATACTTTCACTTAGCTGTATTTGGTACCCAAGCCTCCTATCCTACCCCCCTTTTAAAAATTAAATGTTTATTGTTGAAAGTATTCTATATACCCCTTTTCTCCCCATTGATCTCTTCTAGCCCATCCCCGCCCCCGCCCCAGGCCTTCACCACCCCATTGTCTGTCTATGGGTATGCATACATGCATACAAGTTCTCTGGGTGATCTCTTCCCATCCGCCCACCCTCCCCCACCTCCTACCCCCTTTTTATCATTGGGTTATGATTTGATTTTTGTACAGTGTACATTTTTCTCAGGGCACAGTGATGGCAGTGCTATGAGGAGGAGAGATAAGAGATGACAGCAGCTACAAACATTGTAGGTAGGAATAGCTGCTTTCTCCCCCTCCCTGGATCAGGAATTGGGGCTGAGCTTCTCTCCTTCCTCGGAGCATTGGAATGGGGAGGAGGTGTCGGAGTTTAGGGGGAGAGGGTCTGGACATACAGAACCAACTGAGTAGCCCCTGCAACGTAATCTCAGGCTTTCCAACCTGCCTTGGCCACCCCTGCTTCACCTCCATTTGCCCCTAAAGGGAGGAGGAAAAGTCTGCTTGTCACCAGGAACACTTTTTTCTTGGATTTCCTTAACAGAAGAAGGAAATTCTGTTGTATTATAGTCTTGAATAGCAAGGGGCATTTTTATTTTTGGCAACAACCCCAAACAGCAAATCATTATGCCTTGCATATGGTAGTGTTTAATAAATGTTGGTTTGATTTGGGACAACCGGCTCATGGAAGCTTCACTTGCTTAGTGTTTTAGTCTCTGACATCTGCTCTGCTGGCACATAGAAATGGAGATTTTAATTGGGAAAAACCTATAATCAGTAGGTAATCTCAGATACCGTTCTACCAGACAGCTCCCCAAATGCTTGTTTCTACGTGTGGCTAGTGGGACATTAGGATTGGGGGGTTTCAGCTCTAGTCCCTGCTCTGCCATCAATACTTTATTTTAAGCAAAAGTCACTTTACCTGTCTTGCTTGCTTTTTCATCTGTAAAATCAAAGGACTCAGATTAGATGCTCTCTGCATTTGTCCTTTCTCTGTAGATCTTTATAGTCTTCCTGAGATTTAAACTCCCTTATTTCCAAACTGAGGCCCAACTTGTGGTATAGCTGGCCTGGGAGCAGCCACTTAAGCTTGTCTCTGCTGAATGTGCTAGTTCACCCAGAGCGAGTGAAATGGCACGCCACGGGGCCATGGGCTTCTAGTTCATTATGTGAATGCCGGGCTCTCTTAATCTAGGTTTGCTTCTTGCTCTTGCCAGAAAAAGAAAGAAGAGCTGGCCGAAGAAGCTGGCTGTGTTGGCAAGTATCCTGGGAAAGACCTCCCAGACCACACAGCTTATGTTCTTTTGGGATTGCTTGCTCTTTGTCTAAATAACTTTTTAATTTTCAAGAGATGATTCTTCCTGTGGAGGCAATAGCTCTGGCTGATAGGAAGCTTTTTCCTGATAGACTTTCTGAATTTTTCTCTAATTTAGTTTCTTTTTAGTTATTCTTGCTTTAATTCTGTTTCTTTAGAATTTTTCTGCTTCGTTAAAGTCCATGCAATAAATTGTTCGTAGCCTCAACAATTCCTCCTTTATCCTCTGATGGTATTTTTAGGTGGAGGAATGCCTTGTCCCGGGAAGGGTCCTCCCTGGCTTGCTGCTTTGTCCTGCAGCCCTTACACCTGCAGCCTTTGGGTTGTGGCAGTTGTGGGCTCCCTGAGGGCGCTCTGGACCTTTCAGCCCAACTTTCTGGTTCTCCTTTCTGTGTCACACAGGGAAAGGACTTCATTGTACTTGCTGTATTGTTTTCAGAAAGCTTGCATTGTTTTCAGTCATTTTCACCTTTTTAAGAGCTTTGTAGGTTTCACTGCAGTTTTGCTTCCTCCCTGTGACTTCTATCTTGCTATCTCTAGAGGACTTGAAAGTTTATAGTAGCCTTCCATTCTGTAGTGAATCACCATGTCTGACTTTAGGTTCTGAGTCAGTTGCCTTTTTATTTTTATTTTATTTTTTGTTAGTCCTCACCCAAGGATATTTTTTCCATTGATTTTTAGAGTGAGCGGAAGGAAGGGAGGGAGGGAGCGAGGGAGAGAAACATCAGTGTGAGAGAGACACATTGATTGGTTGCTTCCTGCACACACCCCTGACCCTGGCCCAGGATCAAACTGCAACCCAGGTACATGCCTTTGACTGGAAATCCAACCCTTCAGTGTGTAGGCAGATGCTCTAACCACTCAGCACACTGTCCAGGACAGGGCTGCCTTTAAAAAAATGTTAGTGTTGTTCAGCTAAGCATCTAATGTTCCTACAAGAGATGGAAATCCTCTGTAGGACTGATATACATTTTTATGTCCCCATGCTTTTATACTTCTATATTGGACCTTAAATTTTTTAAACATTGAAATAAATACACATGCCATAAAATTCACCTTCTTAAAGTATACATACAGTTCAGTGGTTTTTACCGTATTCACACAACTGGCACCACTGTCTAATTCCACAACATTTTCATTGATAAGGCAAAAGAAAAAGAAAACCTGTACCCATTAACAGTTACTTCCTGCTTTTCCCTCCCTTCAGCCTTTGGGAGCCACTAATCTACTTTCTGTCTCTATAGATTTGCCTATTCTAGACATTTCATATAAGTGGAGTCATTCAATATGTGGCTTTTTCTGTTTGGCTTCTTTCACTTAACATAATGTTTTCAAGATTTGTCCATGTTGTAGCATCAATCAGGACTTTGTTTCTTTTTGTTTTTTTATTTTTATTGATTTCAGGTAGGAAGGGAGAGGGAGAGAGACACATCAGTGATGAGAGAGAATCACTGATAGGCTGTCTCCTGCATGCCCCCCACTAGGGATTGAGCCTGCAACCGGGGCATGTGCCCTGACTGGGAATTGAACCACAACCTCTGGGTTCATAGGTAGACATTCAACCATCGAGCCACGTCGGCCAGGCAGGACTTCATTCCTTTTTAATTTCTGAATAAGAACATGTTATGGGTAAACCACATTTTATTTCTCTATTCATAAGTTGGACATCTGGGTTGTTTCCACTCCTTTTGGCTATTATGAACAGTATTGCAATAAATATTTTATACAAGTTTTTGTGGGACATGTTTTATTTTTCTTAGGTATATTTGGACTTGCTGGGTGATATGGTAACTCATTGCTTAACTTTTGAGGGGCTGCCAGACTATTCTCTGTCGTGACTGCATCACCAACAATCTATGCAGCTTCGGATTTCTCCACATTCTTGCCAATACTTGTTATTGTCTGTCTTATTGATTATAGTTATGGTAATTGCTGTGAAGTGATGTCATAGTGGTTTTGATTTGCATTTCCCTCATGACTAATGATGTTGAGCATTTTTTCATGTGCTATTGGCCATTTGTATATCTTCTTTGGTTACGTGTCTTTTCAAACCCTTTGTCCATTTTTAATTGGGTTGCCTTTATTGTTGGGTTATGGTAGTTCTTTATTCTATATTCTAGACTTTTATCCAATACAAGTTTTTCTTTTCATTTTCTTAACCAAGCACACTGTTTTTAATTTTGATGAAGTTCAGTTTATCTTTTTTTTTGGGGGGGGGTTTCTTGTGCTTTTTAAGGTGATATCATATCTAAGAAATTATTGCCTAATCCAAGGACATGAAGATTTACACTTTTGCTTTCTTCTAAGAGTTTTATCATTTAACTCTTACATTTAGGTTTCTTACAATGTATTGGTTATAATTATGGTAATTGCTGGGTGATATGGTAACTCTTTGTTTCACTTTCTGAGCAAAACCTCTACCTCACAAAACAAAAGTTAACATCATTATTTTGCACCTGGATACCCAGTTTTCAATTTTTGTTGAAAGGATTCTTGCCCCATTAAATTATCTTGGCACCCTTGTTGAAATTTAACTGGCTATAAATGTGTGGGTTTATTTTGGGCCTGTTTTGTGTAGCATTTTAGTATTCATTAGATAGCTGTCATTATTCTTCATATTGGCAAATATTGCAAAGGTATACCTGTTATATCTTAACAGGTTGACATAAGAACTATTATATCTTAAGATGTTGGTAGACCTGTTAAGCCAGTCCTTGTAGAGCTAGTGAGATGCTTTCAGCTATTAGATTCCGTTCTCTGACCAAGATGATTTTTGCTTTGGGCTGTGAAAAAAATACTGGCTTCATTGACATGTGTAAGGATTTCTGTACCATTGCCTTCTTTGCCCTAAGTGTGGTTAGGTTTTTAAGAATTATTCTATTTTCTCGTGTCTGTGGTCTGGAGGTTTAAGAGTTAAATGCACCAAATAGTTTATCAGGATCTAATGAAGATCTATTGTGGTGTTCCTGTTGCTGAGCAACATTTTAGCGGCTACCCATGAAGTGTAAATCTCCTAGTCAACCTGTAAGTGGGTTTGAACAGTTTGAGTCTCCATTTTCCTTCTCAGCTGGCTTATTTCAGCCTTTGTCACCATCCAATGTGTGCCCTGAAGCCAGTTCCTCTGAATCACGCTGAGTCCCTCTGCAATCTTTCTTGGCAGAGCTGAGAAATGTCTAATCCATAACCTCAATCAAACTGACTCATTGTGACAGCTATTTTCACAGACCTCCTAATGTGTCAGGTAGGACCAAGATCATTTTTCTAGAATGTCACTTTATTAATGTAATATGATAAAGCAGTTACCATATGACTTGCTTTCTATGGCTTATAAATTAGCAATTAAGGATAATTACCGCATCCATGAAAGTTTGCAACATGAATCAGTATAGCTTTGGCAGAACAATTACGCATGACAGTTTCCTCTCAATCTTAATATTTCTCTGAAATTAAAATTTCGATAAGCAATATATTTTACTTATGTTTATTGTTTGTCTGTCTTCCCCCAGTAGAATGTCAGCTTTCCAGGAATAGACATTTTTGTCTGTTTTATTTCACTGAAGTGAACCATTTGCCACATAGTAGGAATTCATAC